CACTGTGCTACTATTCGGCCCGATTTTTTTTGCAAAATAAATCCTTTACGTTTTCATCCTATTTTAAAATAAAGATGCCTTCGAGTACAGAAATAAGTCAATATAAAACAAAAATACCTGTGCTGAACTGACTGATAATCAACCATTTCCTTGCAACGATCGGAAATCCGCTTGCTAATTGCTTTCACGAAACGCTGTTCCACTCGATTCAGAATAAGGCGGCGTGAGATGTGCCGCGCACTTTCGATCCTTTCCTTGGCTCGTAGAAGCTCAATCGTAAGATCGTAGCATCTCCAGCTGTCCCTGCAAATATCATTGTAAATGGTGAAGCAGGAACCGCTGAAAAATTAGAACCATTAAAGGTGATTCCTGTAGGCTCAAATCTCCCGCACCTGTTGTCGTGAACAGTTATTCACCAAAGAAAAAGGCAAAAAAGAAAAAAAAAAGGGATATGAAAGAAGGGGTATGTTCAAAAAAAGTTGCGAAAGGAGAATGCAGCAGTCGTAAATTAACAGTGATCTTTAATATTGCGCAGCTTTTTATAGTTTTTTATGATTGTAATTTTACTATGTTATCGAAAATTACTGAGGGATGACCTCCCGCCAACTACGCCATTATTTTGAGTTAGAGGTGGAGACTAAATTCTCAGCATAAAAGGCCTCGCTCCTCTCCTTTTTTGATCAGTCAGTTGTGTGGAATTGTTGTGGAATTTCGAAATTTGTTGTTGCGGAGGAATATTGGGCTGTTCGTCAGTTGTTGTGGAATTTCGAAGGTTGTGGTGGATTTTCGAGCTGCTTGATGGGAATTCGTGTGGAGAAATTTGTGGTTGGAGAAAGCTTCATCTCGCGGGTGTAGTTTCTCGTCGTCGATTCGGAGATTTGTTGGGCTTGTACCGAAGCCTCATTTCGAGCTAATTGTTGGGAGCCGAATAAAGGGAAGTGAAAGTTTGTTGTATTTCAATTGCTTCGACAAAGATTATTAAAAAAAGAAATTCGGCAAGATTGAGAGGTTTGATCCTCTTGTATTTTGTGGTGAAAAGTTACTGCTTTTCTATTCTTTTCTATTATAACATAGGAAACATAAGCTTCAAGAAAAAAAAAATTCCACCACACCTGTATTTAGATACAATAAGAATCCTAGTTTAATTCAGCCTCTAGTTACTAAATGTTCTGGTTTCAGGGCCATTTGTTTTTTCCATTCTAAATTCTAAGTCCTGCATTATTCGCTAAAATAGCATGGTAACTTTCTTTTTAATCCTCAAAGCCCGTACAGATCAACAGTCT